AGAGAGAGAGAGAGAGAGAGAGAGAGAGAGAGAGAGAGAGAGAGAGAGAGAGAGAGAAGCGGCGAGCAGCGGTTGGCTGCCGCTGCAAGGATCTCGCTGCAGAAAAATTACCGGTTATTACTGTCGCGGTACGGCGTATGCACGGCATAACGCGACGCCGAAGGTCCTTCGAAGGGGAGGAGGGTCGGCGGATTGACGTGCTCGCGCGAGCCTCCGCGCGCCGACCGGAAGGGATACGAGCGTGAGAGAGCTTTCCCCGGGGCCACGATAATTACCCCCAATGGTCAGCGGGAAAGCGGGTCCCACCGTCTTTGGCTTTGGACGTTGTATACAAGGTCTCCGCATTCTCCTGGTTCTCGCATTAAGCCGCGCGGATTAACGGATACCCTCCCCCCCTTCCGGCCATGAAACCCGCGTTACATTTCCACCCTCCGCACTATTGCGCGCCCGAATACGCGTCCACACACGCGTGATTTCCTTGATAGATCTGATTTGCGCGCGAAAACGCTGTCTTTCATTGGTTTCAATCGAATTCCATCCTCCTGTGTGCACATATAACAGCTCTCGATTAGCGTTGCCTATATAGAGGCAGATGATCTGATGCGCCTCGCAATGATCTGATGCGCCACTCGTGTAGATATCGATAGGAATAATTAAACGCGAAAACGAATGAAGTATTTCTTACGTATTCTTGCGATATACAATATGCGATAACAGATATCGCCCGTGGAAACGATTTATATGAGAGAGATATTTGCACATGGATATTACAAACCCAGTGATTCATTCTTGCTGATAGTCAATTTTGTATAAACAAGTCTTTATAAAAAAATGGCATGTATATATATATATTACAAAATACACAGGTTGATAAATATTTAATATCAGTATAGTATTAACAAAAGTAAAAAACGTATTATCCATTAATATTGACAAACGACGCACACAGTGATAATTTCCAATGATTTTAAAAACCAAGATTCATGTAAAATAAAAAAATTTAACCCCAAGATTTTAATTTACTATATAAATAAACTTGCGTTCGGGTATTATAATTATAAATATTGATTACTGTGCGGTATAGACACTATAGACAATTGTTGTGAGTAAATTGCTAACTTTAACTTGAATTGAAAATACTAACTATTAGCGATTATCGGTGCTTCTTTAAATAATAATTAAGTTTTCTGAATCGTATGCATCGCAGTAGACGATGATCCAGCGATGGCGGACGTGTTCCGCGACAGCGCGTTGTCGCTCGTACACGCGGAAAAGAGATCGTATGCGTGCAGGAACTCGGGACAAATCCTATCCTGTACCTACTAAGTATTAGCCGCGTCTTACGAATGCAAAGAGACCCGGGCGTAATCCCGCACGTGTGACGCTGTAATTAAATATTTGTGCTAGGAGAGGAGCGGCGTTTCCTACATAAGTTTGCGCGACGTCTAATTAAAGAGGCAATTAACTTAATCGCACTGTGTTCGTTCGTTACGAGCGCGTCTCGTCTCTGATTCGCGATATTTTTCCCGCGCTGTTCGGAAAGCTGTGAAATAATTTTGTATGAGATCGCATTGCACATTATATTTAATGCAACAAACACGCTTAAGCTGTGGTTTCCCGCAGATATTGTTTAATATCTGTGATAAAAATGACGTCAATCCCATCCAAGAATGAAAAGTGATTTAATAAAATCTATTATAGAGCAGCTAACAGATTCTAATATAATTTAAAGAAATTGATTTATCAGAAAGTTTCTCTTTATTACGTTTATAATTATTGTTATTAATAGATTGATTACTTAATAAATTAAATTTTTAAATATTTAATGGAAAGAGAGAGAGAGAGATTATTTATTTAAATTATATAAATTGTTAAAGTTATTAATGCTTTTTTCGTCATCCTTAAAAATTTATTGTCCTCAATTATATTTTCTTCGGTTTCTGTCTTCAAATTAAAGAAGGATTTATCTCACCGTTACTAATTACCAGTTATTATCAACGATTCAATGACAATTTCCGAAATTCATCGTGTAGCAAATAATTATCATGTTTATTTAAAAACTGTCGAGATAACACGAAAATAGCAATATTGCGACTGAATGCAATATCACAAACCTCATGACATTTAAGTATCTGTTTACACAAATATGTCGGCAGCGATAACGATATAGTTTGCTGTAACATCAATTGCATTACTGTTATGTATGTAGAGCTAGACTCGTTAAGTGACTTTTTGGCTGCAATCCAATAAATTTTTACATACAGTATTTATCACGAGTGTCTCGCAAACTAGTATCCAATGCCGGAATGGTGGACGATGAATACGGTCGGAGAATACTCGTTTCATCACAGACAATTAGAGCGCAGGGTATATATTCACTCAAGAGATTAACAATAAAACACGGACAATATTCCGTAAACTCGTATTTTATGGAATATGCGCTTTTCTCCAGTAGCTCTCAATTTTTCACGTATGTATACAATGTATTGAGTTTTGCATATAAAATGTCGATTTTATAACAACGAGGGAAATTTATAACATCGGGAAAATTAGCTGTACGTTTAATGGAAATAATTTCTATCGGGTTTAAAAATCAACGATATTCAATATCAATAATTCTTTTGTATTGTCATATATATATGCATACGCCTAGCGTCGATATTGATCATTATTTTCGTCGTATTAACAAGTTTCGTATTAATATAATTATTTAATAAATTATTAAATTAAATTATCGTTAAATGATCAAATTTTCTAGATTATTTATATTTTTCTGAAATACGCGTAAAAAACTTTACCCAAAATAGATATATGCAGTTTTAGCACAATATGTTATGTAGTAATTAATTATGGATGTATACGAAACAGATGCAAATAAAACGAATGAATAAATATATATTTCTGTATACAGAAAAATGTTGGACAAAGTTCAACCTGTCAAAATTCGACGCAACTTTTACGCGCGACAAACTATTGTAATGCAGGTGAAGGGTGCGTAACGACGTAATACAAAAGCGAAGGCAGATCGTACGACGGGATACGGGAAGAAAATCAAAGCGTATTAAGGAGGCGTGGAAGGCAACATAATAGGTTTCGCGAGAGAGAGAGAAAGAGAGAGAGAGAGGGAGAGGGAGACTCGTAGAAATCGAGCGACGGCTTCGTGACTGCGCGACTCGGATCGTGACTCCTTCGTGACCGGGATTGGGATCTGACCTCGTCGTGGTCGTCGTACACGGTCTAACCATTACGTTAAATCCTGGACGGTAGCCGAAAAGAGACGATAAAGAAAAAGAAAAGATCGGCCAACGCGCCACTTAGCCGGCCGAAATTACCGCGGGAGATCCCCCTTCACTCTTCGGCCACCTCTTTTTCGCTTAACGATTTTTATGCTGTAACATCGAAAATTACCCTCCCCCCCCTCTCTCTCTCTCTTGCTTCTTGGATATAGACAGCTAAAGTATATTTGTAGAGTAAAGTGGCTGTACACGATCGGCACGCTCTCCCGATTATGCTACTTTACGGAGAGAGCCTAAATTTTCTTAACAATTTTTGCACACGACACGCGACATCACAAACGGGAAATGGGAGCGACTGCACTACTAATTGGGGCAGCACGCAAAGTCAGATCGCGATCGGGTTTTTCCATTTTTTTTTTTACTATTACTATCGAGGATAGATATACGGAAATTATATGCCACGAGAAAATATCGGATCGTTGCAAATAAAGGATATGCAGAAAGAAGCTGATACATTTCTTCCTTTTTCTTCAAGTCTTCAAACTTGAAGAAAATCCGCAAATTCTGCTCCAGAAATCTCCGCGATATTAATTGTAACGACAACGTGTAACGAAAAATCGACTTCGAAAAATCTGCTATTACGGTCCAAGATTCTCGGATATCTCGGATATATGAATATATTTTGTTCAACGTTAATTCGCTTTGAGAAGTTTACTTTTTATGACAATCGTTAAGCACAATGACAATTAACAAAATGTTAATCCACATAAAATTACAAGTTACATAATTATATCTAACCGACAATATTGAAGCTAATTATATAATTTCTACTGAAGGAGAAATCAAATGTAGGTCAACTTTTTTCTTTCCGTGTTTGGCCTTCAGATGTATTTTATATACGTTACATAAATATATAAAGAAACAAGTAATAAAGTTTAATTACAAGTCCGAGGTATAAAACTATTATATTAACTGGGTCACCATTCACAAGCTCGCGAATTTGCGGAAAGGCGATGAAGAAAAATCGCGTGCAAAAATCCGATTGGAAGGGTGTAGTAATACGTCACTCAGATCCGTGGCTCCGATCCAAAATAGACCGTACAACAGGCGTGTAACATTAATTTGCAAGTAGATTAAATGCATTTTCGTGCCGACGACGGACGTATGAAGCCACTCGTGCCTGCTTTCACGTATTTCCGGAGCCGAGGCCGCCCGCCGGCCATTATTAATCGGACGATATTACGAGCGCGCGCGCGCGCGAGCTACATCGGCCGTTCCCGTATTCCAGATTTAATATTTCATCCCGTGGATCTTTAAACCGCCCCAATTGGAAAGCGGTGTATCGTTCTCCGCGCGATATGGAGGGTACGGGATGTATAATTTTCTCGAATCTATCTTTGTAATTCGGGTTATAATCCGCGGTCGTGACCCGCGCACGTTCGCATTAAGTAGTTAATTCGCTGCACCTCGCGGAATCGAGTCGGTGCGGATGTAATTTTTTAAGTTCGCGGGACATATAAATCTCCCGTGAATCTTAACGAGAATACGAGATCTCATGATGCAAATAAGGTTGGCAGAAAATCAATAGGATTTCTTTAGATTCATCCCTGTAGCAATCAGATACGGAAAGACATGTGTGAGTCTGAATATAATAAACACATTTACAATTCAATTTTAATAAATTAATGGTATAAATGAGTGGTAAGTTCTTTTTATTTAAATTAGTGTATCGCCCCTAAGGTAATATTTAATTCCAAATATTTTTGAAGAATTTTTGAATATTTGAAAAGAAGAATGTAATTTACAAATTATAATTGAATGTGTTTTGATCATTTGCGAAAATATATGTGATTGTTATAAATTGCTACATTTTAATATAGGAATGTAAAAGATGAAAATAGTGAAAATTTTTGTTTTTATCAGAACAATGTGGCGATAAAAATTAATTTTAAAAGTCGCGATGATTAAATTTTATTGGAACAAAAATGGATTCATCTAATATCTAACCGAGTACGTTTTTTTGAAATAAAAACATTAAAAAAACATAAAGTAAATTTTAAAGATAAATAATAACGTACGTTAAATAACTAAATAATAAAAAAATGTGCAAATTAGAAACTTGCACATTGCTTCCTCATCATTACAGATCGCTACCATTGCTCCTATTTTATTTCGCTCATAAAGCTCCTCTATGAGGAAACTTGTATTTTATTCGATGCATAATTATTAGTATTTAGTAGTTTGGCTTTCTCATAGAGGAAGCTTTATGAGCGAAATAAAATAGGAGCAATGGTAGCGATCTATAATGATGAGGAAGCAATGTGCAAGTTTTTAATTTGCACATTTTTTTAAATTTTAAATTTGATCTTTTTATGAATTGATATAGGGTTAGCTTACAATTAGTAGCACAAGTGAAGTTTTACAATCGACGCAATGTCAAATCGATGTTGACTTTGGGAGTTCAGGCTATATGGTCCAATATGGACTTTGCATATAGACCTTTAATCGCATATAAAGCTGGGTCTAATCAACTAGATCTTAAAGAATTATATATGAAATAGGGGTAGAAAAGACTGAAGAATATAATAGAATTATAAATAGTCTGATATCTCAAAATTGGCGGAAGTTAGAGCAACCACGAACATTTTTTAAGAAATTTAAAATTTTATAAAGAAAGAACCTTTTTACCGATTATTGCCAAATTCAATACCAACCTTCATTTAGTGATACCCTATATAAAAAATTACATGTATAACTTATACATTGCATGTAACTTTTTAAGCAAAAATCGGTAACTCCTTCACCGATTCTCACCAAATTCAATACCTTCCTTAAATGATATTCTATCCACCAAATAATTTACACATTTTTAAAGAAGAAATTAGTAACCCTTTCACCGATTCTCGCAAAATTCAAAACAACCTTCCTTTAATGATACTCTATATAAAATTACATGTATATACTTTTTAAGCGGAAATCGGTAATCCCTTTACCGATCCTCGCCAAATTCAATAACAATCTTCATTTAATGATACTCTCTCCTTTAAATAACTTCCCTAAGACCGAAGCGAATCGGAGAATATAAGTTTTAAGATAGTTTTCGTTAGTGTTTTGTTTCAAACAAGCTGTTTTATTGTGCTAATTAGTAATCCGATTCGACTCGGTCTACTCTATATATTTTTTAGGCAGAAACCCTTTTACCAATCTTCGCGAAATTCAAAACAACCTTCCTTTAATGATACGTTCTATATATAAGATTACATGTAAAACTTGTATACTTTTTAGGCAAAAATCGGTAATCCCTTTATTATTAGCAATTTTTCTAATTCTATTTTTTCTTTAGTTTTTTCTACCCCTATTTCATATAATTCTTTCAGATTTGGTTAATCAATTCTTGAGTTATAGAAATTTTGGTAAATTTGGCACATACATACACACATATGGACATTTTTAAAAATTGCGATTTTCCAACATTTTAGAACATTCTGAACACATTGGCATCGAAAACTAAAAAAACAATTTTTTCTTCGGTCTTTTCTACCCCTATTTCATATATAATTCTTTAAAATTGGATTGATTAGACCTAGCTTTATATGCGATTAAAGGTCCATATACGAGGTTTATGAAAACAAAGCTTCCTCTATGAGGAAGCAAAATCATCATACTACTAAATATTCAAAGATATATATTGACATTCAGCACAACAATTAAGTCATTGTTTAATATCATACATTCTATACTTAACAATATATGCAAATATATAAGATCGGTTTTATACGTTGTAATCATCGTAGTTAAATTGGTCATGGGCGACGAAAGATTTGAGATATCGATTTGCTATATTCTCAAAGAGTGAGAAAGAAAGAGAGAAAAGGGGAAAGCAGAAGGATACTTCGGTTAGAAAGAGATTAATTATCGCTTTTCCGATGCTAAATCTTAAATCGCATTTAATTCAATCGCTATATTTACATCCACCGTTTTGGTAGCACTAGTTGACACCGTTTACAAATTGACGGGCAAGATTTAATTGATCTGTTAGTAATTTAGTTATCCACGTCTCGCGGAAGGAAGTTCTCCGGCGTTAAGGGGCTAAAGTCGTCTCGAAACTTTCGTATCGACTCAGTGCGGTCTCAGCGTAGCGCGGATCTCCTTTACGAATTAACGTTTAAGCCTGCGTAAAATGCAAATAACCGTGTTCCAGGACGCCGCCGTTGCTGCCGCTTCTCCACGGAGGACTTATTCTGCTCTCGCAAGCAACGGCGATGCTTGTTATACCTATCACGTTTTTGGAATTTGGTTGTACAGTGCGGCAGAGGACGGTGCGATACCGGCGCTCAAGAGACTTCAGTAAACATCTCGCAAGACGTGATTTTCAAGGTTCGTTAAATCTGCCATAGATAAAGAGAAACTCGACGGTGGGTGGTGGCAAGAAACGAGCAACCGTATAGCCACGGTCCAGAAAGAAGGATAGTGGTATAAGAGGAAGGGACCGGGAGAATAAGCGGATGGCACATTTCGCGCGAGAGGGAACAAGAGGAGACAAGAGAAGAAGAGAAGAAGAGCGAGAGGGAGAGACGGAGGTAGAAATGGAGAGTCAGAGAGAAATAGGCGGAATGAGTTCATCTCCGCTAATGCAGCGAGCTAAGTTAACTCGCACATCCTTCTTAACGCGAGTAACCTCGCGATTATACGAGCCGCGGCGTGTGTAACAACGAGGAGAGGACACGCGGGTACGAGCGATCGTTTCTGCGGACTACGTAGGCATAAGCACGTTGAAGGCGGCCGTTGTAGATGCGGGATGTGTGTTTCACAAATTTGAGACGCGAGACAAATTACTTACACGCTTATTTGAACGTTTAAAATGTTTCGGGACCGGCTCTCGGGCTTCGTTTTATCAGTTCTTTTGAAAATAATTTTTTCCTAACGCGAGCGTGAAATGGGCCGCTTTTCGCGCTTGTTTTGAGTGAGCAAAACGATCCATTTCGCAATGATGACGTAAGCGTTGAAACATGGAGCCATTTCTCAACTAGTGGAGAAATGAAATTGTAAAACAAGCACGAAAAGTGGCCTGTTTCACGCTCTTGTTAGGAAATAGTTATTTGTGTAACAAGTGAGGTAAGATGAAAATTCCCGGGTGCGGTTACCGCACTCGCCTTCGGCTCGTGCGTAAACTCCGCACCCGGGAATTTTCATCTTTACACACGGCTTACACTCCCTATTTTATGTTGCAAGTGCCTGGAAAGTGGTCTATCACGCACGCGTAGCGTGCGTAATGGGGCACTTTCCATGCACGTGTTGCATAAAATAGTATGAACAACTCGTGGGAAGAGTGGTCGAGCCCAAATGAGTGTGATGGTCGCACTCGCTTCGCTCGTGCGACCAACTTCACACTCATTCAGAATCGACCACTTTTTCCACTAGTTGTACAATATACTATTTTAAATGAGAGTTCATCATTTTTAACGAGGGTTTATTATTTTTAATATGCGTGTTTCTTCCTAAAACATCATACATTTTTTATACAAATTTGTAATTAGCAGTAACATCCATAAGTCCGATAAAAGAAAAGAAGATGCAAATCATAGGCCAGCCCTGTAATACACGAAAGTTACTATACATATATGTTTATTAATTTCAGCTACAGCCAGAAAGTAGACTTAGTTTACATAAAGTACTTAAACACTCATACCATCCATACACCACTAACCTATTTTATCATTCACACATTGCACATCTCCGCGGCCTAACCACCTATTCTACTCTCTAACCTTTTTTTCCTCTCTTCTTTTTTTTCGCTAGCTTTTTCCTATAAACTTTCTTCAATACCTTTACTTTGGTGATGTCCAACTCTTCATTCCAGAGAGTCTCTCCAATCTTTCTTTATTATTTTTACCTAACTCAATATACCAATTCCTTGTCCAACTACACTCCTCAACATAATGGTTCATGTTATCCCTACTTTTACAAAAAATGCAAACTCAATTCCCAATTCTCACTATTTAACCAATACCTATTTCCTCTGCCTTCAAATTACCACATCTCAAACTTTCTCCAATATCCTGCTTATCCAAATTTTTCTTCCTTAAATATCTGGAACCGTCCATATCCTTATTCAAATCTTTATATTTCTTATTGTATCTTAATTCTATAATCCTGTTCTCCTCCAATTGCCTCTGCACATCCTCATCTCCGTCATCCCTTTTCCTCTCTCATTTCCTTACCTAAACTCCCCTCTCTTCTCAAGGCTTCCACAACCACTAAATTACATTCATTACTATTATAATATTTTTCCCTTTCTCTTCCATATCTATCATTCCAATCAATACAAAAATTAATATAAAAGTTCAATGACGCTTTAAAAGGCATCAATCAATAAAAATTTAAGTTTAAATGGCATCAATCTGTAAGAATTCAAACATAATTATCAGTTATCACTATAATAAGATTAGATATGACTTCAGCGCAAATTCATAAAATATTAGAAAAACAATATAACTCATTTTTTCGGTTTGAGTTTTTTCATAATTTATCGGATTATTTATTGTCTACTACGAAGGCGACTAATAGAAAAAAGTGTTGATATAGCGCACCAAATTATTAATATAAATTATAGAGTCATTTATTTATCGAGATTGAGTTGACCTCATTACAGGAGTTATAATGGTCGATTTTTCAGCTTTGTCATAGAGACGTTTTGTTTCTTTTGTATTACAGAAGTCGTCTGATCGTAGCGCATTTGGCGTCTTCGTGTATTTATTTTTGTAAATCAATTCTTCATTTGCGTCTGCGCTTTGGTCTCGTGCCAACTTACGCTCACGCCCTCACGCGTACGTAGAACGTAAGGAATTAACAAACAGAAGCGATATTTACATCGCGGTAGAAGCTTTAACGTTAAAAGCATTATTTTCTCCGGATAAATTCAAGCGAGCAGGATAAATCGTACACATATACGTGTATACGTTTGTCGCGCGCGCGCGCGCGCGCGCGTGTGTGTGTGTGTGTGTGTCACCCGACCTCTGAAATTTGTCAAATCTACGAATTGGCTCCCAAAATTGTGGACCTCGATCGCGAGCGTCGTAGGCGCGCGTTTTCAATGCGTGTTTCTCGCGATTATGCGAGACGTAACGCGTGTAGTATGTACCGATCGGTAAATACATTGGGAATACAAATGATCACTCCCGGCCAAATAAGATTGCCGAAACGCACGCGAGTAAATATCCGTCTGCACAGGAATACGCAATATTGCGCAACCGTCTATGATCGACAGCGATTCGATGCAGCTACTCTGCTACTGTATTTAAGAGTAAACGGTATAAAGGGCATTAATGTCATAGCATTTTAAAATTAATCGCGCAGGAATTTTTCATTACATTATATTATCATTCTTGTACTATATCGTGCGGGGGGGACGAGATTATTCAGCCATAGATGCAAATTGCAAGAGCAAAATTCGTAAATATATTAAACAAATTAACAGTAACTTATGAAATAAAATTTCTCATTCTCGCAGAATTAAAATTGAATATGCTTCTTTGATTTTAAGCAATTTGTATAAAAAATACAATGTCTGTGTTAGTTAAATTCAAAACTTGATAGCTACTATCAGTATTGTTTCATAATTTCAAAAACATATTTTTATTTAAAATTAAATAAAATTAAGTGTTTGCTTAAAATTGATTTAAAAATGTAATTTTGTCATATATCTGTGGCCTTGAAAAGCTTAATTCGCAGGAATTCTGCAAATCTTGAAAAAATCAACAATTAAGATCTTCATTTAAAACCTTTGGAAAAAAGAGATTGTCCGTAAATATTTATCAAATATATATCTATTACATATATATTTTATTGTATATTATTTTTTTATACTTTTTGTCGAGTATTATCTTCTTATCCAAGAATAAAAAATAGTATAGATAGATATATTATAGCGGCTTTCCGTAATTTATCGAAAATTTTTTTTGGAATGTGTATAATTTCAATTTGATTATATCAGAGATTAAATTCATGTGGAATATTCATTGTCGCTGTCCCGGTGTGAATAACCTTCAGGAGATGTGGGCCGCTAAAGCCACGTGCAAATACAGATGGATCTTTATGTTCATCTATACGAGATTACACGCACACATATACCGATGCATCAACGAAGGTGAATAACGTAATACGATGGTCTACGCTCGTGCGTTCCCCATTACGTCATCGAAATATATTTTGGACGATACTGGAATATTGAGGTTCCTATTCCGAGTCTCTCGCAGTAAAAAAGGGAAATCTATGCAAGAAGCGTCGACAATAAAATCGCGATCGTAAAAAATGTTCAGACACGTTCTGATTTTCATGTCTCAATCACGAGCCTTTCCTCTCATAAACGCGTTTTTAAATTAAATTCAATTTCATGTAATAATGACATTTTGAGTGTAAATATATCAATTTCCTTAATACTGCAATTTTAGAGTAATCATTGAAACTATTATTGTCTACATTGTATATTATTTTTAGAATCATAAAGATCAGCTACTTAGTCTTAATTTATTAAATCCAAAAAAATTTAAATACTTTTAAAGATATTTTTTTCTTTTTTGAATCTGTTTAATATTGATAGTACAAGATATAATACAAGATTCAGTCGTTGTAAGATGGCATTGTATTTATTAAAATTTGTATATTTAGTAAGATTAAATAAATGAGATACGATACCATCTAAAATCTAAAGCTAAATAAAAGATTACTATATCAAGAGACACGGTGGTGTTTCGCATCAAGTTATTGAAACTATAATTTTCTTTAAAAAAGCATATTGTATATTTAACAAAATATATATGATTAAAATAGAGAAACAAAACTTCTGCTTATTTTTTATATCTACGCGTTAACAAAAAATATACTATAAATACAAAATGTTATGTCACTAGCCTTAGATTTAATGAACTTCATAGCAAAACACAGAGCTTTCGATTATAATACAAAACTTTTTATTGCGAAACAAAGCTCTCACACGCTGCAATAAAAGACTTTAATATCAGAGGTCAGAACCGTCATTGCACTACATCTCTGTTTGTTTTTGAATTTAATGAGTTTTGCTACTGTGTGTACTTATATATACTTTGTACTATTTTTGAACATGTTTCGGGACTCTTTGAACTCGAAAGGGGAAAAAGACGGTGATACTTCACGTGGCGGGGTAATGCGCTTCGAAAAGGTGGAGATACGCTCTTGGATGCTGGCCATTTCCTAATTGCGTAATCTTTTTGGCGTCCAGTTTGGCAAGGCGTCTAACGGCTCTGATAGCTCTAATAGACGATCTGCTCCTGCGTTTGCGACCAGGATCCTGCGACTATCCCATTTGCTTGCGTATTTATATTCACGTATACTAAATTATTTTAGTGATTAGCGCGCGAACAATGAATATGTGATTAAACGAGTGTAGGTATTCTCACAAGAGTAATACATTGTCACGTTTACAATATATTGTTTTCAGACGTTTAGACAGCAAATTTTAATCTTGTTAAAGATTAAAATTTGCTGTTTTATCTTATCAACAATTGTCATAATTGTTATAAGCAAGTCAATAAATTATATTTAAATATGCGTATTTATATTTATAGATATAATTAAAACGTTAACAAATTTATATTATTTTTACTTACAATAAAAATTTATTTTCTTAATCCAATATTAAATAAAAATTGGTTGTTAAACACAATTTGGATGTAATATATATTTTATATGTATGATAATAATAATAATAATATAACGTTTTATAAAAGATCAAATTTTTTCACTTTTTAATGAGAGTCACTTTAAATTAGAGAGTTACTTTAAATTTTCGGCGACAACAACAAAATACAAATTTTTATGTTATTATGGGAGAAATTGTTTAGCAATTTTTCAACAGTTTTAAAATCCAAAGATTCTGCTTGAATAT